TTTTTTTTTTTCTAGTTTACAGAAAGCCTTTTTGTGTAATAATCAGTGAATAGAAAAACTTCACCTGCAAATACAAGGTAGAAATGTTATTTCACAGCTATAGGCTGCAGCATTGATCTCTCCAGATCTCAAATGGAGAATGTACATGTTTGGCTCCCAGTTAATTCCAGATTCTGAGAAAACTGTCCCAAGACCCTGTAGCTACAGCCATGCCGTCATCAGTAACACCTAAACAGCTGACACGGTTGTCATGGCCAGCAAGGACACCTGGAAAAGAAAAAGCAATGAAAGTTAACATTCCCAGGATGTTGAGGACTTCAGCTGTCACTCTGCTCTCCCAGGTAAGTCTTCAAATTTGCTTAAAAAGACGTAATGCAAGATCTAATCATCCTTTTTCTTTACCCTGAAGAACTATGCACATCACAACAGCCATATCAAAAAAACTCAACAATGAGGTTTTTAAGAACACGTACACACAATATTGCCTCCATTTTTCTGTCTGCCCTTACAACTTTTCCTTCTTTCTGCCACAAAGACCTCCTCATCCCTAATCAGGCTCTCTACTGTTTGGTTGGTTTTGGTTTTTTTTGTACCCCTGTTTTCAGCAATGCTGTCCACAATTTCAACCATCAAGTACTTCCAAAATCAAATGTGATGTCTTCTGACAGGGCCCTGGATACAGGAACTGCCTTGAGTTTCCCATGTTTTGCAAACCCTGCGGATTAAAAATCCCCCATGTATTGTGTCAGGCTACTGTAAGAGCAGTGTGGTACCTGCCTCTTCCCACTTTGTTTTTGCTTTCCTTCTGCCCGCTCTTGCTCTTGTCTGCTCTCCCAAGGTCTGTTAAAACTCAGCCTGTGCGTGTCCCTTGAGGAAAAGGATACTTTTGCAGTCTGGACAGCGGAATAAAGGTTCAGAACTGAACCAGATCTGTCATTTAAACTACTGTACGAAGTGAGAAGGATGTAGCTATGCTATAAACATGCTCTCTATCCTGACAGAAGTGACTAATTCCATGACTAAAAGTGTCCACTTCCCCTCTCTCCCAACAGCAGGAAATTACAGTCCCCAAAGCAAAAGGACTACTGTGACTTACTACTAACTGAATTACTTCCTCTGATGGGTGCAAAAGTCAACGCAAAAGTGTAATTTGGTATTACTTAATTTCATAAAGTTCGACTAAATAAATTTTCCACGTAACGTAATTTTGGAGGCTGTTTCGTAGCCTCAAGAGCTGGTATCTTCCAGCACACAGATGTACAGTGGCCAAGAACAAGAGTATTTCACTGACTGGAGCATTTACTCCACACATCCTATCGATGAAACTGTAACGCAATGTAACAACTGGAAGATATAACCAAGTGCACTAAAATAAGAGGATGCCATTCCAAAAGAAAACAGTGCTAAAATGATGCAAGCAGATTCCGTAACATCAGCAATAGCATTGGCAATGACCTGGCTCTGCGTTTTGCACAGATTTTTAATATCCATCTTCTGCTGAGCAAATGGAAAACTTCAGCTCATTGCAGTTACGTGTACTCACCTGCTCTCTCCCCTTTCAGAGTATCCCACACATTGCAGTTGAAGTCATCGTAACCTGCTAGCAAGAGGCGACCGCTTTTTGAGAAGGCTACAGAAGTGATGCCGCAGATGATATTGTCGTGCGAATACATCATTAATTCCTGATCTGCACGCAGGTCAAAGAGTCGGCAAGTGGCATCATCAGATCCAGTGGCAAACGCGTGTCCATTAGGGAAGAACTGAAAGTTTTAATTAAGAGACAGGAGTTTGACACCGGCGAAATACATTGTTCATGCATTATTTCAAAAACCCCACAGGATTATTTTGCTAGGGTGACCAGATAAAGGCAGAATGATTTATCAAAAAAAA